TCATTTTTGTACTTCATTTTGTTGCAATTGTAGTTAATGAGACAATTCTCAACATCAAATTTTGTGCCAGTCCATCTTAAAGTTATTGTTCTTTCAAATTGGTGGATTGATGACAATAAGAAAGGCCATTCCCAAAACAATTACTTTTATTTTTGGGCCATTTTGCCTCTATTGGATAGGACAGCGTAGAGAGACAGGAGAGACTGGGGCAAGACATGCAGTAAAAGGCCAAAGCTGGAATCAAACCCACAGCAACAAAGGACTATAGCCTCAATACATGAGGCGTGCAACACAACTGCCAGACCATCTGGTGCCCCCCAAAACCAATCATTAAGTATTGTTAAAATAAAAAATGTGGGTTTTTTTGGTCAAAAAAAATAATCACAAAATACATTTTCCAATGTATTTCTATCATCTGTAGTTCTGATAAGTATTTGGTCATATTTGTAAAAAAAAAAACACATTTACATTATCATATCATTATTAATGATCAATAGTATGACTGTTTTGAACATGTATGTTGCACATATTTCAGGTCTCTGTTTATTCTTCAAAAGCCCACCAGTATTGATTGCTATTATTTTGTCTTTGTGGGTCCGCCTCACATGAGTGGCCAGGTGTATTCTGGAGTCCATCAGGGTTTTTTTTTTTTTTTGCTTATTATAATGATTGAATATGTTGATACTGTAACGCTGATGGAAAATATACTTACACATATTCCCTATTTTGTATTTAATTTCAAAACGTGACGGTCTAAGCTCTTCTGCTTCCTCCTCAAAACACTTAACAGTATTATATAACATATTTATATCGCCATATATTTATCTTTTATTTCAAGTCATTTTTTTCTTTTTCTTTTTCATTGTATTTCTGCTATTGTGATGCATTAAAGACCAGATCAGGTATTAAAGCTGTATACATGCATAAGGAGATGTGTCATTTTGAAGAACTCTTTCAAAGTGAAACTTGTCATACTGGAGAAATCCAAAAAGAAAGGTGCTCACTGTGGAGAAGTGTTCTCACGTCATCTTGTGGGAAATAAAAAAAAAACATTCACCACACTTGTTTGAGTGCATCACTCCCCAGAAATGTGCTCAGTTCTGCAAACATCTTTCCAAACATGGTTCTTTAACCACAAGCTTCAGGAGATTCTACTTGCTAAATAAATAATCTTCTTTTTTTATGTATAACCCTTGAATTATTCAAGTCTTCACTTCTGCATATTTAGTCAAAAAATGTAAAATATGAAACCTCTGGGGACAAAGACTCATTAAGGAACTTAACTAAAGACAAGTCTAAAACGTACTGACTGTAATGAGAAAAACTATTCAACTAAAAATTATTTATAAAAATAAGTAAAACTCAAAACTGTAGACTTTTAATCCTGATCTGTCTGATCAAAGTTGACTTAAATCTGATCTGAAATCTATTTGACTTTTGGGGATTTTGATATTATAGGTGACTATAAGGGAATGTTAAGACTGTTGCTATTTCCAATGGTAGTGTGTTGTTTTCTGTCAGAAGTTTCTACTGAGCACTGTATTATCCTATTCAAATTAGAAAGCGGCAAAGTGGTTCTCTGTAAGACTACAAATGAACCTGGGACCGAACAGTTTCAGGGTAGAGAGGAATTCAAGATGAAACATGGAAATGAAAATGTAAATCCACTGTTTGTTTTTACTTTAAAAAAAAGAGTATTAGGGGGCGCTGGTGTCCTGGTGGTTGGTGCGCACACCCCTTATGTAGAGGTTAGAATCCCTGTGAGGAGGAATCCCAGGTTCAAATCTGACCTATGGCTCCTTTCCCGCATGTCGTTCCCCACTCTCTCTCCCCCAAGTTTCTGACTCTATCCTCTGTCCTATCGCTACATTAAAAACATTAGAAGATTACACATCTAAAAATGAATAAATAAACATCTAAATAAGCCATGCATTCAGCATGTGCAGCCTTTCCTTGAATCATGATTTTTTTTTTTTTCATTTTGCTGTATATTGTATTCTGTATTCTTGATAATTGTTGTTTAAAAATGTGTTCAAAAAGGTCTAAAATGTATAAATAGTTGATGTTACAGGAAATATGTTGTGTTAAAGGTTTAAAGAAGTATTTTTTAAACATTATTTTTATTACGTTCTGGAATGTTATAAGGATTAATGTCCAAAATCTAAACCAAAAACTACAGCTCCTGATAAAGGTGTCTCAGGCTCACCACCTTAACCGTTTCCACAGCTGAGAATCACTGCAAGAATTAGGCTTTAAACCAATAAAAGCAATTTCCAAACATAATTGAGAACATGTTTCAATACATATGCATGAAAAAAGGATTTTCCATCCGGTCGACTCACATGCTCATGTAATTGATTGAGGGGATGACCCGTTGTATTAAATGTTATTTGAGAACCATCAAAACACACAAAATTGCAAATTGCCCAGCTTGTATCTGAATTAATACCTCATTCATCATCATTATGAGTTGATAAGTTAATTTAACCATTTCATTCTGTCTTAATGAGCTATAGTTGAATTAATGTCATGTAATATATGAAAGTAACATTTGAACAGAGGCAATGATTTGAGACAAACAGAGCAGGGACTACTTTAGAAGCATAATGGTGGCATAAATCTCTGCAGGCTGCACTTCATGTGGCTCTGTACACTAAATATGCTTTTTTTTTTTTTTAACCTGAAGAGGATTTTAGGTGTATATGCTTTTGTGATGAGATTTGATTGATTTCAATGTTTGGATGTAACATCTGGTATGTCAGTTGTAAAGACTGCATCAAATTCAGAAGTGGGGACAATATGTTAAAGAAAATTCCGAGATGTTGGATTGTTATGAACAGATTTGATGTGAATGCATGCTTTAGAGAAACAAAGGACAACATGTGGAGATTTTAGTTATAATAATGTTATCTAAAAGCCCTCAATGAAGACCCTCTTGGGCTTCCAGTCCTTCATCTGGCCCTTGAGTGACTGCATGTGACCATTAAGGGCTCTGCGCTGTCTTCTAGTTCCACCTTAAATGCGTTTTGGCCCCGCTTGCTCCCTGTAGTTTGGGTTTTTTTGTCCTCCCGCAGCAGCTGTCACCCTGCATTACTCGCAGTCAGCTAAATGAAACATTATTCTAAACATATGCATCGTAATCAGTCCGGTCACACTTACAAGAACACGCGTTAATAAGGCAATCAATCACTGTGGAACAAGCGAGTTGTTCTGTAACAGCTCATAAACAGTGTGTAATGAAGAATTGGAGGTTAGCATGACACGGCGCTGATCAGATAATCAATGTCAAAGATGCGATGAATGTCAGTAAATGCACTTTTCATGTCGTTTCTATAAAATCCCCAATTTACAACAAGCAGTTCAATTACCCTGAAAATACAGTCAATTAAACGGGGCTGATTGGACAGTAGGGGCAGGATCATCGATCTTTGCATTTCTATCTCGCAGCTGGACATTTAATTTGTTTTTTCTATTAGCACCGAAATAAAGAAAATATAAAATATATTAAACAAGCCCAAAGATTTATTTTCTTGTCAAAAACCATTCGGCGAAGGTGACAGACAGTCTTCTGCATTATGATGAATCCTTTTTTCAGTCGTGCACATTGGATACAAAACTAATCGTGTTATTGTGGCCGGTGTTTTTCTGGCCTCTTGTCTTCTCCCTTTTACACCTCCATCTATCTCAATGCTTTTGTTGTACGGGTTTCAACCCTCGCTTTAGTAAAGAGCAAGGAAACACGGTGATATATCACGCCCATATTTGCTGCCCTAATCCTATTTCTTTTAATGGGGACGTTCAAAAAAGCAACTTATCTTGGAGTCCCCCGGGGACGTTCGTGGAGGAGGCTGTATTTTAACCAAGTGCAATTAACGACAGTATCAGCTTGTATCATTTAGAGGTAATGTAAAAATAATGGTAAATTATAGGGCCGGAATGACCCGTGATGGCAGGCCTCATATTCCCTGTAGCTTTCCACGTGATTTTAATTAATATTACACGGTGTTTTCTATAGAAATGGTGTCACAGCACCTAAATAAGCATAGCATGTCTTCATTGTCCCAGTTGAATGCTTTAACGTATAATGTCATTAATAAAGCCTATAGCCTATTGTAAAAATAAAAATGTGCATTCTTTAACAATCAAATCTAGTTTGAAATAAAACGCGATTTACTTTACCACCATCAATCTCTGCGTCATCAAGAAGCGTCATGAAGCGGTAATATGTAAAGTTTTTTTCTTTATTTCCCAAGAACAAACACGATCAATAAATAACATGATTTACATTTCATATTGCACATTTTTTTTCAAGTTAAAATATTTAAATTCATACAGTCATTGATAATTTAAATACAGAGATATAGCGTTATAACAGAGACCCAGGGGACAAAAGGCCAGTAATATTTTCATCATTTAAATTTCAGTGCTCGATTAGCAGCCCTTTAAAGCCTCCTAAGAAATGTTCTCCATCTCCAAAATTCAGTGTTAATTTTTCACAAAATACAAATCATGAATTTGGACTACAATGGTGAGTTCACGGGCGAATTTGTAGGCTAAGTGATGGTCCTTGTTGGAGTGTACATCCAGTGTTTCAACATTTAAAAAAAACATTCAGCAAGTCACAAAAAAATAAATAAAACAAAAACATTTTTTTAAAACAGCCTACCGTCCACATTTCCTGAAGCTTTTTTTTCAGGGCAAAAATCAATAAATCAGTTTTCAACTATCAGTAGGCCTAGGACTATCCCATAATTTTTGCAAAATATTTCACGATTTACAGGTCACATGTTTTATAATTAACATATCAGTGATGTCCCAACAGGAACGAATAAAATAGCACATAGCTATTTTCTTTTGTACAGGCGCAGACCGATTTTAAAGCCGGGCTATTTTGTGTGTGTATTTTGTGTGTGTGTGTGTGTGTGTGTGTGTGTGTGTGTGTGTGTGTGTGTGTGTGTGTGTACAGTGTGTGCGTACAGTGTGTGCGTATGTGTGCTGAGGAGAAGGTCCTAAAGGGATTACACTCTTATGAAAATACTGGATTTGATATAATGAGGTTCAGCAATGTAAATAGAGAGAGGCTACTGTGTGTGGAGGTATCAGCAGGCTGCTTTAATATTTTTACATGTCAAATAGAAGCCTTATACACGGTGCATTGTGTACCAGCTCTGTCGCTTTGTTCAGCCTCTTTTGTATGTCTAATGACTTCCCTCCGCGGGTTGTTAGCACTTGACAGCGGGTCTCAAAACGAGCAACTTCCTTACAGTCGTGTATTCAAAAGAGCTCCATCTAGGTACATGATTGGCAATTTTTGTCATGATCCTCTCATTATTAACATAAAAATTGACACCAAAAGACGCGGTGCAGAATTATATGCACCTTTCTGAGCTGATTAGGGAAGTCCCCAAAGAGTAGGGGGCTGGGTGTTGAAGGGGGTAGTCCTGCCAAAATCTAACTCCATTAGGCCTAGCCTATATAGTGAAGAAAGATATGCTGCTGGGCAAGAATAGCACACACGTTCTGCTAGCTAAATTTAGGTAGCATAATAAGCTGAGTTTGTATGGACCAAAGGAGTGAAGGAAGGCTTTGTCACGATGGAATCTAGACATTTTACAAGAAGAAATCTGGAATAGTGGATAAATTATAGTCCTGCGTTTAATTTGTAGCTACGATTTGCAAGGAAAAAAACCCAGATAACTTTAAAGGGAATACAACCTAGAAATGGAACAAAAACAAAAATAAAAAACAAATCCAGTTTAGTCCATAAAAAACTGCTCTAGTGGCACAACACACCGGCACGAGATTTTAGAAAAGTTTTGTGGGAGTGAGTTTAAAAATGTTCGTTGCTCAGCTATTTCCCTAAAAGAGCTATTGTACTTTATGAAATTAATCTATTTTTTTGTGTATGTAGTTGTAATGCTGCCTATTAACTCCAGGTGTATTTTGAAAGAAGGCCTTTTCCCTACAGTAGGACAAAAGAAAAAATATGACCCGTTTATGTGTAGGCTGTGTGTCGAGTTATCTGTTGAGTGAACTTTCCTCTCGCGGGTCTGGAGACGGGACTGAGGTCTTGCTGAGAACAGCTGCAGAATAGGGCAGAAATCCACTCTCGGATCTTTGCCCGGAAGCTGTGCAGGTAAAGTCAGAGCTCGCGCTCCTGGAGCCGAGCGCGCTCGCGGCCTGGCTGCTGTGGCAGCTCAGACACGAGCAGGGCCCGGATGCTGATGGCGCACTGACCGCCGCCGCCGCTGCTGCTGCTGCTGCGGCTGCCGACGCTGCAGCGGAACTATTGAGGCCTGCGGGTGACTGGTAGAGTCCCGGGTGCCGGAAGCTGCACAGGAGCTCTGGCCGTGAATAAGGGTGGGAAAGCGCCCGGAAAGTGTCGAGGGGTCGGATGGAGGTGGCGAAAGGTGACGAGGCGGCACTGGTGGCGGCCGCGGCGGCTGCTGCTGCTGTGACACCGACGTGCGGATAGTAATGTAGAGGCATGTGAGAGTGGAAAGGGTATGGTAGGCTTCCTGTAGCTGCCGCGTGCGTCATCATGTAGGTGTAGAAGCTGGGGTCTGCGGGATGGGGCCAGGACATCGCCAAACGCTGCCGTTTGTCCTTCATCCGCCTGTTCTGAAACCACACCTGCACAAAAAAACATAAACAAACACAAGGGCCATACTGAAACTGCCATGTTGTTTTCAAGCTCTAAATTTAGACACTGAGCCATGCTGGGAAAAAAACACGTAGCCTATATAAAGGCTTTATAAATGCTCATAGGCCTAACTGAACAATAAAAATGCTCAATTGTCACATTTAATGTGCATAAAGATAGGCTCAAAATAAGAGAAATGTATAGGCTAGTTAATAGTAGGCTAGCATTATTTTCTTTGCTATAGGCTCTATTTAAAGCAGATGCCTTGGAATGCATTTTACACCAAACGGTCAATATGATCCAATTTGATAAATAAATTAAAATATTTGTGTGCACAGTTTAAAACAAATAAAATACTAGGCTACAAAAATTGAAACAAATATCAGAATGTTTTCGTTTTTTTTGACTGCATTGCAATATAATAAGCCAGTAGTTAATGTTTTCTCTGCACAGACACACACACAGACGCACACAGCGGACAAGAATAATGAAGATTAATCTGTTACCTTAATGGTCGTTTCGGGCAGATTTAGCGCTGCAGCTAATTCACATCTTCTCGGCCTGGAAACGTAATTTTCCCTGTAAAACTCCTTTTCCAGTCTTCCGATTGTTCTCGGGTGAAAGCAGTCCTATATCTTCTCACTTGGTCGGAATTAGAATTGTTTGATCCCGATGAATTACCGTTCATATTCGCGAGGGAGTTTGAGCTGGAGGACCCAGAATCTGAAAAACCTGACGAAAAATAAATTTAAAAAAAGGGAAAAAAATGTAAAATTATAGGCATCAACAATAATAGATATCGATCATGTAGAAAAACAGAGTAAGACTCTTATATTTGACTTACAAATAGCAATAAAACCAATAAGTTAATTCAAGGTGTTTCATAATATATATAAAACAATTTCATAAATATTTGTTGTATTTTACGTTCTTGCATTGTTAAAGTTAATTTATAGTGGGAAAAATAGGATAGTGTATTATTACTTCAGGAATGAGGAAAGCATAATGATAATAATGATAATAATAATAATAATTGTCTATGTGTTTAATATGGTTTTTTGATAGAGAATTTTTTGTTTTTAAATAGAAATAGTAGTAATAATCACAATATTTCCATGAAACTTGACTATCAAATTTGAAAAGCAGATTGTGAGTTAAAATAAACTGGTACCTTTGTTGTTCTCCTTGTGCTGGCTCGGGGAGCGGTGCGAAGGGCATCCCACCTCCACATCACTGTTAATATCTGAATCTGGAGAAACCTCAGAATAAAGACTCATTTTCTTCCTGCTTTCTGACGAAGAAATTTCCGCCGAGGAGTTATTTTCACTGTTATGGTGCGTGCCGAAAAGACTGTCAATCTCAAATTTGCTTTTCGTCGGGATGTCCCCCAGATTTCCATGAAGCTGAGCCGAAGTTATTCTCGGGCTGAGCCGTCCGCTGTGCTGCGAGTTCTCCAGGGCCTCCAGCACTGAGTTTCCCGGGGTGCCGTCTGCGAGCCTCTTCCCTGCGACCGGACTGTGCAGCCCTCTCTCCATCAATATCATCTCTTTTCTTATCCTCTCCATCATTAGGCAGGACGAAGAAGAGAGAGAGAGAGAGAGAGAGAGAGAGAGAAAAAACCCACAACAACCCCTCAACACTTGTCCAAAAGAAGGGGGGCCGGCTGCAACACCAATGAGTTGTGTCGGAGCTAAATCCGCATGCAACTGTCTCTTAAATAAGTGTCTGTAAAGCTTTTTATAAGCAAGACCCGCAAAATGAAAGAATGTGAATGCAATCGACGAGCGACTGCTCAAAGTGAAGCGTGCATCCTCCCCGCGGCTGCAGAAATGTCATTCATCAAAAAGTGGATGCTGCTGTTCGCGGTTAAAATGCTCGGCTGACGTCGCTCCAATGATCATTTATTGTAACAGGTTTATAAGCAAATAAATAGGAGAGGGCTGTCACTTGATGATGGAGGCGGCCTTCGGTCAGACGAATAATATCCAAGTGGAGAGGAAGAGGAGTGAGGAGGAGAGCTGCGTGTCCCTGGCTTGATCTCTCAGTCTGTTTCACATTGCTCTTGGGTTTGGCCTCTTGGGTGAAATTGGCAGCCTGATTAATAAAATGAGCAGCGCAACATTTCCCTCTTCATTTAGGAATATTATTATGCTTTGATTCTCTATTGTTTCCCTGCTCTCTCTCTCTCTCTTCGCCCTCCCTCTTTCTAATCCCTTTACTTTCATATTTTCACCTTGTTTCTTTTATTTTATACAATTCTAGCCACTTAATCGGTGCGTAAAATGCGTAAGGACGTAGGTGCCAGATTTTGATAGTAGATTTGGATAATCATTTTAAGATCATGCTGATAAAGCCTATTTTTCATTTTTTTCTACAATTCTTCAATGTTCATTCTTTCTTTATTCGTCAAATCCACATTTTGACGGGGTGATAATACATGCATGATAACACATCATCATCACACACACACACACACACACACACACACACACACACACACACACACACACACACTGATGCATTTATTAATGCATTTAGAAAAAGCTTACTTTGTCTTCATGTAGACTACTTTTAACATGATTTAAGAGTGACTAATCGTTTAATATTTATTTATTGAAGATAAATCACCTAACTCGTGTTTTTTCGTTTCCGCTCATTCCATACAGTTTCTTTGTCAGTTGAATTAGTTTTTAATGTGGAATTTAAACGAATAACTAAGATTTAAGAGCTAAATGACTGAATATTTTACTTTTTCGAAAGAAACTGTCTATTTAAACTTTTTTCCTCACCATTTCCTCCTATGTGGGAAGTTTTACGAGCTGTATTATATATGAATTATTTTAGAATATATATGAACATTTATGCGTCATATGAACTCTACCAGAGACTCGATGTATAAAGACATGACACCCATGCATGGACTTCAGGTTCCACAGTGTGAATGACTATAAATGCGCTTTCAGATGATCCTCTGCGCGTCCTCTGGCGCCTCCTGCAGGCTTTAATATTAATAGCTTTCGTTGATATGAGGTGTTGAATGGGAGATGTGGGCTTGAGTTTACCTGATGTCCTGAGCATATTTCGGCCAAAATAATTGTGTATGATTATTAATAAATATATAATGACAATAGCTATATCAAATTGGCTACAAAAACGCCTTTGAGAAGGGCTGGATGCTGCTACAGGGCAAAATAAACATGTGGAGCAGATTTATTCATAAATGGATTGAGAATGTGATCTAAATCAAAGCAGTGTGTCTGCCCAATGCTCCGATAGCACAAAATATTTGACTGAGTTGGAAAAAAGCTAAGCCTTAATATCAACCCACTGCATGCAGCTAATCTGTTCTGCCCACTTAGTCACTTGTCTAAAACACTGAGTTCTTTAAAGTCATGTTTCATTATTGTATAGGAGAACTGTTTGACAACTTGCAGGATCAGACCAATTTACAGATTTTCATTTAAACAAAGTAAATGGCCTCTTTGAGCATTTTTTTTCTCTTTCTAAATGAGAAAATGAAATCACCTCCTTGTAGGTTTAAGAATTTACATTTAATACAGTTGTATAATTAGCAGACATGTACTGGAGTCATTGTGCAGCTGATGAATCTTATGGTGTGGTTTGCATTTTTCTTCAGTCAGCATGTAGACAAACTCAAATATTCTGATATAATTGTCTTTAATTCACAGGTTTACGTCCTTTTCATCTCCCTATGACCATTGTCTTGTACTTTTGTTTGAATTTTGGGTTAAAAAAATGTCAGTACCTGAAGCAGTAAATATTAAGTAAGCAATAATAAAGCTTTTGTTCTTATAATGAAAATGTGTTACTGATGTCACAGACACTGCCATGTACTCTCATCCCTTTAGTATAGCCCCACCTTCATAAACCCACCCCACCTTTGTACCAAATTTACATTCTGCCTTCAAATCTTCTATGAGGACTTGAAGTGGCATTCAAGCTCTTCAGTGGCTGATTCCTGGAGCAGATTTTTCCTAGTGGCTCTCTTCAGTGAGAGTGTTGGACTCAACAGCTCTGACTCTCTTTGCTCATAGAACATCTGGAGTCTAGAGAAAAGATAAAGTTTGACAATTCAATGCAAAACATCCTATATCGCACAATGTTTCATGACTTCATGCAGAGTGTTTACCCTGCAAGAAGTAGATGAGGTGCACAGTGAGATATGTGTAAATTAAAAAAATGTGTGGGTGGGTACGGGGTACATTTCCAATATTGTCATTGTAGGCTTTTTGCAAGATCGTAAATTTTATATTTTTTAATCTGTGTATTGATAAAACCATTCAACTAAATTTTATTGTATTTAAAGTCATTTGATAAACACTCAAAAGGCCTCTCCTAATGACCAATGATTCTCCATAACATACTGTTCAATCTACTGGTTTATATATTGACAAGTCAGATAAATTAACATCTCTGTAAATGTGGTTTTCATGTCTGCTCCTGTTAGTTTCTAAGTGATCGGCCACAAACACAACACACTGAGACAAGGAAGTGGCTACTTAAACGAAAACTGCACGTTGATAAAAAGGAAGTGTAAAAGCTGGGTACATTTGGAGTGATAACATCCAGTATGTTTTCCCAACATGGTTTTCCTACAGCAGCCATAGTGGAAGTTTGCATAAGAACTAATGTGTTTATTTATTTAATCAATCAATCAGCAAATGTTATCTCAAGACATTAAAGAGCAGGTAAAATACCTTACTCTTTGTTCAATTATCCACAAAGACATGACTCCATTCTTAGCACAGCACTAAGCAACATTTAGCAAAGATACAGTGGCAAGGAAAAACTAAACCTGACTCATGTTGAACAGCCATCTGTACATGTGCTGGGCTCTGAAAGTGGGATAGAGGGAGTTGCAGCAAGGAGAAGGATAAAGTAAGTAATAGCCTGATCAGTCTAATATTAACATGAACAACTGTAATGATGATGAAAACAGGGAGATATATTAGATATTTGTTTCATAAATTAAGCTGTTACAGGCTGTTAACAATACAAGATAAGTTACCGTAGCTGTCAATCAAACAATGGCAACAAAGAGAACTTGAATGTGATCCTTTAATATCCTGCACCCCCACAGTTGTTTTCAGCAAATAAAATCTCTACTGAGGATAAAGGTTTGAAAGATTGCAGCTCATATTAGCAAGTTAAAGGTATAAACTGTCTGGATTTCAGTTGATTTTCATCCTGAAAACACCCAGCCAGTGCTGATAAGTGCTCTCTAACTAAGAAACCAAATTAAAAGTATCACCTCTGTGTTTACCAAGTAGGCACAGGAGTCTTTTAATTTATCTTAAAACTATCAAACAATTTGTGTCAAAGGAGCTTTTTTTAATTTGTCAAAATGTCCTCTCTGCAAAACGACAATTGGATGCATATTAGAAGACGTGGGTCTTCTAATATATCTAATAGATCAGAGAATGAACGTCCAGTGAGAAGTTTGGGGTAATGCAGCATCTAGTGGCCTTTATAGGTACTGCAACTTAAATCACAGGTCTTCTACTGTTAGCCATGGTGGCTGCCACTTGGTTCCCTTCACCCTGGGACTCCTTCCAGCTTCCTGACATTTATTGCCAGTAATAAAATAAAAGAATAAAATACTACTTAAAGAGATGGTATTCTAAGATGTGATAAAAGGTAATGCTCATGAGGACTTCTAGAAATGACATAGATTGTTCAAATCCTGCCACAGTACATGTCAGTGTAAAGGTTTCTTTAAAAAGATGTGTACAGCATTTCCCTTATTTCCCATGCTTAAGATAGCTGTTAATTGATTTTTTTTCCCCTGTAGTTTATAATTATACGATTTACCATGCTGTTTGAAAGCTCTGTTGAATGCACCTAAACAAGTCATTATTATAACTTGTGATCATCCACCAGGTATGATGTAATGCAGTGAGGGGCCCCTGGGTGGGCATGGAGTTGTGACAGGTCTTAACAAAATGCACATTTTTTTTTCACTGTCGGCAAAGTGTGGCAAAGTTTGAGAATACTTCCAGGTAAACATAAAGCTGGTAATTATTCTAAAGCAGACGTCACAAATGTGGAAGTTTCATGTTGCGGTATCACTTCAAATAGCTTCCTGTTTAAAAGTGGCTTTGCGGTTGTTTCTGTTTGTCACTGGACTGCTAATCTGTCGTTTTTGCAGCCAATGTACATTCTAAAGAATTAGGAATTTGTTAGCAAAGACCATGACTGACTGATTTTGATTAGTGTATGTCAATATGTGCTCTGAGGGGTGGGGGTAGGTGGGCTTAGAAATATACTTCATAAGGGGGGCCTGGAAGAAAAAGTTTGGGAACCGCTACTGGAATGTATTTTTTTTGTGATTCTTGGTCTCGAAATCGACTGGCAGAGATTTGAAAGTCTTTCAAATGAGGAGGAATACCTTACCATTACATACTTGGGGCAGAAAGTGCCAAAGAAATATATAATTACAAGACAGATTTAGATGATGCATGGCCTGCAGGCTGAACAGAAACAACTGTTTGTTATTCTAACAGAATATTCAATGTCAGCGTATGACTAAGAATATTTAAATATTTTG